AAAAAAAAAAAAAAAAAAAAAAAAAATTGCATATTGTTTCAAAAAAAGGGGGCTCAAACACACCCTTATTATATGGTTCATAAATAAGATATCTGCTACAGCAGCAGAAACAATGTATTGTGTGGGGAAGCTGTAGAATGCACATCATGTTTACTTTTTTGTGAAGGTCTGGCAGTGGATTCTCTATCATCTTAGGCCATGTTTGAGCCACATATTTTCAAAAAAATACATTATTAAACAGTGATTTGACATCATTTCAACCACACATTTTTCAATAAAATAATATTACACACAAATCCAAAACTTTTCTTTATTTTTTAATCACACATTTTCCATCAATACACTATTCAAAAATGCATTCTTAGAAATATAATGTGGCTCAAACAATGGTTAATTCAATATTAATAATAATATTACAAAATTAAATTAATTTATATACAGACCTACTTCCATCTACCCTACCCCACCAAATTTCATCATAAACCTTAATTACTTTCCACTCTTCTTTTCTCTCCCCATAACACTCGATTTTTTCTTTTCTCCCTCACATATAGATTGCTGTCGTCGTAGACAACCTTCAAGCGCCATAGTGCAATGGTACTCTTCGCCTGTGAAGCCACACTGCATGCCACAACTCTCTAGTCTCTCTCTTTGCCGCACGTCATGCTGTCGTTGCTCTCCCATCTCTTTCTTAGTTGCATGCCACATAACTGCTTTCACGCTGCCTAGTGTAGAGAAGCCACGCGTGCTGTGCAACACTACTTTGAGCGCCACACGAAGCAATACTTGCTCAATAGTGTTTTGGTTTCCGTTTCTATATCAGATTATGAATTTGGTGTTAGTGGTGGTGGCAATAAAGCAGTAAGGTAGTGCCGACTTTTTGGTTTTGTTGATTGTGGTGATGGTGTAGTTGTGAGGTGGTGTCGGCTTTTTTATTTTTATTTCTTGAGAGGTGATGTTGGTGGTGATACCATCTACTTCTTTTTATTTTTATTTTATTTATTTATTTTTTTTATTGGAGGCGGTGAGTAGGTAGTTGGGTCATAATTTTTGTGATATTGGCTGTGGTTGTAATGTTGGTGATCGTGGCCGTGGTTGTGGAGTTGGTGGGATTGTTGTGAGGTGGGATGGCTTGGGGAGGGGTTAGGTTGTAATCAATTATTTGGTTAACTCTGATCAATAAATAATATTTGACCTTATTGTTTGAGATTATGATTAATAAATTGGATATTTTGAGGCCAACGTGATCGATAAGCTATAACCAATTAATAATGCGTTACCTAAAAAATTGACTCGTGATTTATAAAATTTGTAGCCAATAAATAAATTATCCTATAAATTTTTTTATTTGTGAGTGATGAATACATTGCGACCTATAAACTTTTTGATTTGTGACTGTAAAATAATTATTTATAAAAAAATTTATTCGTGATAGTGAAATAATTTGTAATCAATTAATTTGATAATTTGTGATCAAATATAATATATTGTGACCTTAATATATTTAATTAATAAAATATATATTTAATTAATTATTTCATAAATAAAATTTAATTAATATCAGATTTTTAAAATTTTAAACCTTATTTCTCAATTTTAAAATAAGTTATACTTAATCTCTTAGATATGAAAATTTTCCTTGATCTAAAATTAAATCTACCCAATCCATTTATTGGTTTAAACCCAACCCATCCAAACCCAAATAGATTAGCTTCAACCAAAGTGGGATCCAATTATTATGATTATTTTTTTGTTGAATTTGGACAATTTTTAAAGTTTGAAATTATTTGAAAACCCTCTTTTTCTTTTTTCTTTTTTTTTTAAACACCTTTCTTTCTAAAAAAACATGTATGAATAAGTTTGAAATTATGAAATATTTTCTTTTTTTTTTTAACAATTTTTCGAAATTCATTCATTTAATCACCATGTCCTTAATTTTAACTTTATCATCAAATAACTTTAAATTTGTACAAAGTATTCACGTCAATAATTCTATGTAAAAAAAAAAGGAAAAAAGAAAAAAAAAAGAAAAATGGGTGTTTATAAATTATAGGTCCTCTTATTTTTTCTATTATGTCTATTTAGTTTTTTTTTAGATATTAAAATTTTTTAATTCATTGGATTAAGTTTTAATTTATAATCCGAGACCCATCCAACACAACCTCAAATTTTATTTTTCAACCTAACCAGTCCAATTGAACTTAAAATCCAACCAAAACCAATCGATTTGAATTGGGCTGGTCAGGTTAAGCAATTTGGGATGGACTGCCGAGCCTTACTTTTGTTCCGATGGCATGATTATTTTTTTAAATTTTTATACAGTTGATTTCAAAAGCATAGATTTGGATCGTTTGTAGAATGAGTAAT